TACAAAATAATTTTCAAAATAAATTTCAAAATTTATTAACTCTTTTAAAATCGACATTTTCAAATAATTAAAATTTTTTTAGTAAACCTTGGTACACAACGTAATTTTTTTGTAATAGAATAATTTTCCAATTAGTTCAGTAATCTGTAAAAAGTTACATATATATTAAACAAACAATAAACTTTAAAGCCAATATAAAACTTTATAAATCAATCATTTTTTCGATCATTTCATTATTAAATTATAATATAGTAAACTTATCAATTTTAGTACAAAATTAAAAGCTTTAAAATAAAATTTTACTCTTATACACAAACCTATGTACATTTAATTATAATCATTAAATTAAAATAACAAATACTTTCTTATTGTTCTTTTAATATTATTCCTTTAATATAAAATTATTCTTTTTAATATATTATAAATTAATTTTTGTAATTAATTATGTTTTAACTAGTTAATACAAATATACAAATACAAATAAAATTTTACGCTTATACACAAACCTATGTACAGTTAATTATAATCATTAAATTAAAATAACAAATACTATCTTATTGTTCATTTAATATTATTCCTTTAATATAAAATTATTTTTTTTAATATATTATAAATTACTTTTTTTAATTAATTATGTTTTAATTAATTAATATATATATACAAATATATATTCATAAAATAGTAAATGGAATTTTTATTAATTTAAAATTAGTAAATCATTTTTCATAATTTTAGTAATTTAATAAAAATTTTATTAATAAATGTAATTAAAAAATTGACTTAATGTAATGTTATCAAATGTAATTAATTTAATTATAACTTTTAGAATGTAATTTTAATTTAATGTCATATTATATTTGGTTAATTAATTAAAAAATACCTTATTATAATAATTCCTTTTAATATATTATAAATTAAATTGTAACTTTCATTTTTTTTTATTTTTCTTTCTTTAGAGATTACTAATAACATATTTTTCGTAAATATTTTTTGTTTGTAGAGGTATATAAATATAACATCTATCTATCTTGTTATCTTTAATTATAAATATCTACAAATTATATTTACAAAATATAATATTATTGCGCACGTACACAAATATCGCATATATTTCTTTCCAGTAAGAATTATTTGCTTCGCTTTTTTTGTGGCGCTTTGTTTTTTTCTTCCATTGATATTGTCTTGATACACAAACTCACTCTAATTGATTCGTTTTTAGTTTTTGTATTACCGTATATACTACGCTTTATAAATGTGGCGTTCCGTCACGGAAACAGCTCTTCCCAATCAGATTTGCCCAATAATTGATTGACAGAGTATGATCTTGAGAAATTATTTGTCACCCCACGCAATAATGTGTTCCAGAAGGAATACATTGAAATATACCTGAATAAGAATCAAGAATGTCCCGCTTGCCAATCTGTTGGGATTAGTAATATTTTACTTGTAATTTTGATTGCAACCTTGTAAAAAATATTTAGAGAATGTAAAAGTTTAGTATGCTTGATCTGATTAGTAAAAATGAAATAGAAAGCAATTAATAAATTTCGTTAAGGGAATATTTAACTTTTCTTAAAATAAATAAATCACGGCCGGTTGCGAAATATTCCACGTAGTGAGTGTTTGTTTCGACGTTATTCTCGGGTAACAATAAAGATACAACGCCATAAGCTCAATGTATTTATGTCGTACAATTGCCAGGCTGTATCTCCTGCCAGTTCGTAGAAAGCATCTATTGAAATTGTTCGCCAGTCATCCTTTCGAAGACTGCATAGCGAACAGGCGTACATTCTGTTATAGTTGTAAAATATTTTTAAACCAAAATGTGTTGAATCAAACCTCCAAAACACCCGTCTGGAATCTCTTTGAGCCAGCCGAAGCCATAATAGATACGCCAATCTTAACTCGTTATATCTTAATCCAAACTAGTGAGAGCCTGAAAATTCGAGTGAATGGTCACATCGAGCTAGTCCAATTTGACAATTGTGCTTCCCATATTATCTCCGAGAACATTCCCCATAGGATTCTTGAAACTTACCGTTTATTTGGATACAATAAAATAAAGGGCACAATTTTTAATTGAACTTTGTTCCTTCAATTTTTCAATAAACGGTCCACTGCCCGATTACGTCGTTTTTGAAAATTTATTCTAAATAACAGTCGACTATTCTGTTCCACTGCTCTAAATAAAAAGAGAAGCAAAAAGCTATTCGAAACTGAAACTATCCTTTTGACTTCTAGAAAAAAGTTGATATTTTCTATCCTTGCCGGATCTCAACTGATAATGACAGTGTTCAGTTGAGATGCTCTTATCATGCCGCCAAGTCACTGTCTTAATCTTAACTTACTGCTACCTACTATGGCTTAGTTCTACTACTTCCTACCCGAACGAAAGATAAGTGAGAGCAAAACGATGGGACGGCTTTGCCTCTTCACAACGTTTCTCTAATATTTTAGTTGTTGTTACATTCCTAGCAATGCAAAATTATATGCCCATTTGTGGATAAAAAATCACCGCAATGTTAACTTATTTAAGAAGTTATTAAATTAATAATATATTAATAACATTTTAAGAAATTTTAAAATTATTATTTATTACGGCGCTTGACAGTGCAAAGCTTAATTATAGATTGGTGCATAATTAGTAGGCGTTTTGTTGACGTGCTATATTTTAATAAAAATATGCAATATTTTATAAATTTATGAATGAAAAGATCCATCTACTTTAACGTCATGAAAACGCGTGTCGATAATCGCATACACATTCATCATATTACGTTGCATCACGTTGAGAAAAAGTACAAAGTATCAATCATTCCGTGATCTCAACGACCTTTGCGGCTAGAGCATAATCAGCAAAGGTTGACGCAAGGAATGGTTTGCCCGTTGCAATTCTGGTGATACTAATTTCGAAGATTAGCCAGGAAGAGGTCAACCATCGGATTTCGACAATCATGGACTTTTGGCACCCGTAGAAGGCGACGAAAGCTTGACAACTCGAATGCTGGCCGACCACTTCAATGTGGATCATTCAACCATCATTCGTCGCCTCAAAAAGCTCAAAAAGTAGATGATGGCTAGGCTCCGGATTAATCATTTAAAAATGTTGCAGTTGAATTTTTATGTTCCTTTTTGCATAATAAATAGTAGATAAGAACGCCTGATAATATCGCACCGTTTTATTATTATAGCTAACTTCTTCGCATGATACATCTAAAACATGATAGCTTTGATTTGAGTTGGTCTACACTAATATATCATTCAGATAGATCTATTTTTAAACCTTCTTATAAAACTAATTAAAAATAAATTACGTGATGTAAATTAACTTACGTACATAAATATTTCGGAAGACCTTAAAAATATTACGGCAGTAGATCTCCAAACGTTACGGCAACTACAACATGAATTATACACAGAATGAAATATGAACTTAGGAACTAAGAAATTTTGAAACTTTGTTGCTATCTACAACCACACGACTCCACAACCATATTCGGGAATGTTTTTTGCGTGGCTGTGTTGTTACTGTCCATGAACATTAATTGCAATGAAGAGTATTGCTTGGCCGTGCAGCATGGCACTAGTTCAAGATGTTTACGCCTATTGCCTGATCGGCTGAGTAACTTTTGAAGAGTTGAGCTGTGCTGAGATGTGGCCATGGTCACACTCGCTACAGAATTACAAGAGCCACGGCAGAAATAAGCATCATAACCACGCGGGTGTATAATCCAATCACCCCAGCCGATATCATCAAAGTTTATGAAAAGTTTTTCACGACAACACTCAGTCACGCCATCTGTGCAATTTATGCTGCGCTTTGGTCGCACTAGATGTCGTCTGTTCTGGGTATCGACTATAATGAACGGACGGTAAGCCTTATTGGTTGATATCATTTGTTCCATGGATCCAATGTCGCAAAGCTGACATGTAATTTGTATTAGGTGGCTAAGGTCGTGATTACCAAACCAACGCTTAATTGGCCACTCAATATCAATTTTTAACCATTCATCTACAAAGTAAAATAACAAATATTCTGGTAATATTAATATTATTTACTCGCGCGTATTTATTCGCTCTTTACTCTAAGCCAATCGCTAAAACAGATCCGTCCAAGAATCGGAGAAATAAATGCGCTATTGATCAACTCGAATTTTGTAAAAAATTTAGTCTTCCCACTACGTCTTTCTTTGCTTCTACTAATCTTACCACGGATTTGTTTCGAAAAATCATAAGTTTAATGTAAACTCAAACAAATGTAGTTTCCTTCGTCAATGATTATCTATATTAATCGTGAAATTGCAAATTTTCTCGTCGTAATAAACAAGTGATTAATAACCCTTCTCCTTCGATGTAGTCAACGTAAAAGAATCAGCAATCCCTGATGTTTTGGGCATGGGAACTTAAAGTAGAGCTTGTTTGTAGGCAGAGCTACCCAATTTTGCTTGCGGATCCTCGAACACATGCACCGGAAGGCTGAGGTGATCATGGGCGACATGAGTGTTTCTAAAAGACTCGATAATTTTGAGCTTTGGCGTAATTTGTGCTGTACTTATATGCTTATCTACAGATACGTCAAGACAAGAGTTTTGCACAGATAAAGTAGATTTGCCCACTAAATAAGTCCTATCACAGGACGACGCGCCTTTCCCAACTATTCCTTCTAGAGTAACCTGCATAACATACGACACACGACCGCGAGGCGTCTTTCTTTAACCGACCTGCCTCCTGTAGGTCAATTTACCAGGAATGCTCTTTCACACCGGATCTAATATTTCCACTTTTAAATCGAATGTTCACAAATACTAACTCCTTTCTCTAACTCTTCCTACCTCTAACTCCTGCTAATCACCAGAGCGTACAATAAATAAGCCTTGAGTGGCTCTTGACGTACAAAAAAAAATCTACTTACCGTGCACATTGACCGGTTGTATAGCTATGGTTTTGATTACTGGTAAAAATTTTGATTTTAATTTTTGTTGTTGTACCTCTGACACCTCGATGATCATTTGATTCAATAAATTCTCCTGTCGTTTCGTATTTTTTTGGCGATGGCTTTTAAAAAGCCACAAAACTGCGGTGCTAACATCGTAGCTATCAGCATCAGCATCGTCTATCTTGAATGAGAAGCATATGGAAAGTTGCGAGCCGAACTTACTACATTCACGTTTTTCTAAATTATTAAAAATAGATGAATGTTATTACTTCTAATGTATTTCTCCTTTTCTGTTAGACTTACCAACTTGTAGAAAAATAAATTTTTTACTGGTTCTAGCATAATAATCATCGAATTCTTTTTCAATCACAGAGCCATGTTCGTCGTTGATAGTTACTCCTTCAGAGATTGGTTTCGGTAGACCCACCGCCGAAACATTAGGACGTTCTTTGAGGCGCAGTTTTTCTAAGATTTGCTGCTTCACAAATTCAATACGTAATTGAGTAAGTTCTTCTTCGCTTACATGAGCAACTTTGCGAGTGCTTTCGCATTTCGGGCAGCGAGGATCTCGTTCTTCTCCCACTTGTTTTGCCTCCCCTACATTCGGCAATCGATTATCAATAACGTCGAATGGGATTTCACCATTTTCTATCCAAGGTTTTCCTTTACTTGACGCTGCAGAGACATGAGCATTACTCTTGTAATTGGCTTTGATTTGTCGCCAAACTCGTGGTGAACTTTTCATGTTTCTCTCATTATAAGTAGAATGATTTTCTTTTTGTAAAGCATGCAAATGCTTTTGGCGTCCAGCAAAATGTTGAATCTTTCTGTCCATATTATGGGGTATCTGCAGCGGTTTTTGTGGCGCTAAATCCTCTACATGGCCCTCTTCTGCTTCATTTGAGTTTATCTCATATTCTGACACCTGACCATGATGAAAATGGGAATGGAAAATGTAGGGCATTGATTCATTACTTTTCTCATGATGCCGTTGTCTCACAAATTCTGTGCTTGGATGAGATTTCACGAGAAGCCTTCTGTACACATGTCTGTTTTCGAAGGTCAAAAAAGTAAATAATACAAATGCTATGAAATATTTCGTCATATTTCAATAGCCTTTTTTTAATTTCTGGAGAAGGATCCCGCGGTGATCAATAGATTTTTTATGAAATAAAGTTTTCTCAAAGACTGTTTACTTTTAATCGGCTTTGCTATATATGATTTGCTACTATCTCTTGGGTAGCATTAAGAGCTTTTCTATTGTCCATTGTTTCATTAAATTCATAGGTATTTTTGAATATATTAATTTTGAAGGAATTATTATGCGTAGTAATTTTTACTGAAACTGAAGAATAATCTGGAAAAGTTCACACGGAAAGCATTTCTGAATATATTAAATGCAGCAAACAATCTGGAAGCACAAGAACAATATTTACATCTAATTATTAAGCTTTTAATAAATGTTTAAAATTTAAAAACTAAAACCAGCTTTCATATATATCATTACAAATTTTACACAATTATCACCGTTGTATTGTCATTAATGACGATTTGAAAAGTTTAGACCAATTTTTCGTTTCGAGGTCGGCGTTTCAACTCGTGTAATGTAAAAAAAACGTTATGTCGAAATTGCACTCTCTGCAGGTAGAATATATATTTAGATTATATATGAGTTTATATATGTAGTGTATCTTTAAAACTATTGAGTTTATTCTAGCCAGGCCTAAGATAAGTTACTGCTCAACATTTTCTTCGATTCCTGAAGTCTTTCAATACCGGTTTACATCTTTGACTGTAGCAAGCAAGAAATCTTTGTTCGCCATATTTCAAGTTTTAATGCCCATCGCCTTAGGCAAATCTCAAACTACCTTTTTAGCTGGAGACGAATAATTGGTCTACTGATTCATTTACCTCTAAGACTTTAAATGGCATTGTTAAATATTCTTTCCCATTCACCAGCTATTGCTGGCAGAATTTTAAAATTGGTCAAATCGGCTAAAGGAGAACAAATAACACGATAAAAATTTCCATTTCCATATATTTTCTAGTAGAGAGAGTATCGAAATTTAGTTTTTTCGGATTTTTTTTTTTTTTTTTATATGAACGTGGTTAGTATCTACAACTTTCGGGGAATGTAATTTTCTTATTTGACAGTACACAACAACGAAAATTGTATACTCCAAAACATGCATACTATTTGTCGGTGCGAAAGGAGGAAATTACAATTATTACCTGAAGCTTTCTTTTTACATCGTTTAAGTTATACACAAAAAGTTTCTAGTGAGAGCAATAATGTGTCAGTAATGATGGCTACAGTTATCCAATGTAGTGATATTTCTGGAGTCAAATTTTCAAATTTTCTGTTGCACTGGGAATCAATGCTTCGTTCTACTTGCAAAGGTTTTCTTGATCATATGCCTGAGTTAGACGATTTTCGAAGTTGAATTGAAGGATATTTAATGGGAAAAGAAGTCGAAAAAATTTACCGCTTCTTCCAGGCTTCATGCATGCGTAAATCATAAAATAAACAAACTGATTTTTGCACTCCGCAATAGCGGGAAGACTAGTTTTTAATTATATTTGTTCAAGGCAAGTCATTGATATCGTTATTGTGCTTTCGCAAACAGGCGAATGGTTAATTCACCTCCGCAGTTTACAAGTTCTATAATTAAGAATACACAAAATTATGTAAAAACAATACGGTTAGTACGAATACTTGCAGACCGGAATGGAATTTCTAAGCCAATTCACATATTGACCTTCGTTTCTCTAATTATACTTTTTTCCGCATTTTCAGATAGCGAATTTTTTTACTAGCTATTCTATTACTTGAGGAAACGTTTAACTGTACGCAAAAAATGGCGGATAATTATATAATCTCAGGATTGAAGCCAAGTGATTTGAAACTTCAGATTTCGTAAAAGCAGATGTGAACAACTAAAAATGGCAATAATTGACAAGGACATCTAGCAGAAACTATTCGAAATTTTCCTTTTCACCTTTACAGCTAAACATGCTATAAAGAGCAAGCATCTTAACCGTTAAAAAGTTATGATGATTTTTTTAAGCATCACCCTTACGCACATATGCTGATTTTATTAGCACTAATTTCTTTAAATGTGTTTATAATCACTGTGTAACCAAAATAAAAAAATCTGTTATATATTAATTATAATAAATAAGTACAGCACTTGATGTGCAGTTCTACGATTACGCCGCCAATACAAAGGTAGGCACAATAGACGATACGGAGCAAAATTCGCAAAGTAATTTTATATTTTATATTTCCGCACGAGTTACCTTTCTTTAGAAATTATAAAAATCAATCATCAATTGCAAGAATTTCAATTTCACGAACACTTATTGACATGCCGAGATTCAAGTAATGCTTTGATTTGTTACCTTTCGAAGCATATGAATTTATTTTATACAATTGAATTGAGTGGTTCCCTATCACAAGCATTAAAGGGAAATTTGAGTGTAATAGAGCGCGTCGCAATGGACTTGTTGCTATTTGTACATTTATATAAGAAATATCTATACATATATATAAAAGTATGTGCATTTTGCTCTCTACCTTAATAAAACTATTCAATACAAATCTAGTCAAGAGAAAATAAGAGTAAAAGAATAGAAGAGAATTGCTTGATTTAAGTTTTGAGTGAAATTACATCATTCATTTTATTTCGGACACATTTTCCAAAGAAAGATGTGTACCCCTGTGTACTTTTTATAATTCTACTATTTGATTCGCTTTTTGTCAAATGATAGTAGACCTCTTTGGCAGGAATGACGCTTTAGACCATAATTTAAAAATATGCTTTGGGTTAATTTTTTGGCTAAAGTTATCAAAATCACTATAATATTCTTTTATTATAAAGTTCATTGCACTATTATATCATAAATCGCTCACTACATTTCTCCAGTTATTTTCTTGATAAAGCACCCTATACCATCGTTTCCATATATATTTCGTATAAGCCCTTACATGAGAGCAGGTTGAAAATGTGAACTGACATGATCCAAGTTTATTAAAATTTATTCTCCTCTCGAAGACATCGTTATTCCGCAACTACTTTCATCATAAATTACTAAAATTTAATCTTCGTTGCCACGTAAATGCTTACTGATACTATGCATGAGAAATCGTTTAGGGGATGGGTAACAAAAAATGCACTCATGCGTCCTAAACTTGGCAGAGTTGATTTCCATGCCAAATAACTGACGTGGACCAATTTTCGCTATGAAATGTTAAAAATTAGACATTTTTCCAATATAAACCCCTTACTTTTCGTAAATATGGGATATATGAGGTATGACCTAGTTAATTCAAATTTTTTACATCAGTTTAGTGTGATGGTGAGTAGTTAGCGGTCGAAATATTTCAAAAATTTCACTGTAGTTTCATTTAAAGACTTTTTCAGGATAAAGCCATATATTGTGAAGAGTTTCCGGGCTCGGCCTAACGTAAATCAGGGTACCGTGTTTCGTGAAAATATCTCAAAAAATGCGTCGTAAAAATTGTAAGTTGAATACAAAAATTAACGGAAAAACAGCAGACGGACAAGTATGATTAGAACCATTCAGGAAATGATCCCGATATAACAGGTCACTCGTTTTTTATAAGCCGCTAGTGCGCGGGTTGACCCGAATTTTCTCCGTGGAAAATGAATTTTGAATAATCTTCGAATGAGCCAAAGTTCGAATACGTTTTTAGTGAAGCAGTCATTACTTTTCATGAAATTCTTTCAAAGAGTCTAATGAGAAGTCACAAAAGAGAAGGATAATTTTTACTTTTTTTCCTTCTTTTCAAAAATTAACAATAACACTTTGAATAGTTAGCACAGGCCTGTTATTATGTGATTACAACTAGTAAAGTTGCTTATATTTTAAATATTGCAGGTTTATTGACAAAAACAAGACTGTTCTATTTTTTGGCTAGTTCAAGTGAAGGACTTCCTTGAAAGCTTCATGTTTTTATATGTGCTCTTATATGTATTCTTTTTTCGTCGCCTTTAATAGATTTGTTTTAATCTTGTACGTTTTGAAGGTATATTTACTATTCAGGAAATTAATCTGCGAGGGAATTACATGTTCGAGATCTCTATCTCAACTCCTTAAGCTTTGCAGATTTCAACCTACATAAAGGCAAGCAAGATGAGATGACTTAAAATGACGTTTATACTGCAGTTTAGGGGATTACAAATGAAATGATTAATTCACTATACCCACTCCTTCGGCATTGGACATGAAAATCTCTAATCACTAAATGACCTTAAATAATCTTTGATTGCTTGCTATATTTGAAAACACACCTTTTGATTACATTATTTGTTATTTTTCACCGAAATCTGCCAAATAAGAGTACATGTTCAGCTTAAACGGACTAGTAATTTGTTCTACTATCTGTCATTACCCTTTGACTAAATGGAAACGGAAAACAAATGGTCAGACATTATGCGAATATTGCAAGTTTGCAATTTGGACAAACAAGATGATAAGGATGAAGAAAATGAATTTAAGTATATCTCTCCAAATGAAAAAATTGAAATCAGCTACACTTCTTGCCCGGTCCACAGTTTAAATTTATAAATAAAGGAGAAGCATGCTTTATCTAACACCGGAAAAAGAAATAAGAATAAAACAAGTCTTTTGGACAACACATATCCATAAGTATGTATCAGATGTACCTCGATATTAGTTGCTTCGTAAAACACATCTGTTGCGTTCATTTATATCAAAATTTTGCGTATATATACCTTAACAATTGTTGTTCGTCGCATATAAATTTTATAGTGTCATTCAGTATACATCAAAGTGCAAAGGGATGGATGTCAACAGACAGCATTTCTAGTATAGTATATTATTTTGGTTTAAACTGGGAAAAAATGCAGCTCACGCCATGGAAATGATTAAGCTGGCTTAGAGTAAAAATACGGTAAGCTACTGAACAGTTAGAAAGTAATTTTTCTTCAGAATCACATCCATCGATCTGCACGAAAAGCAACCCAGGAAATAATCTGCAAGGATGGGCTAGGAAAATCTCTTGATTGCGGATTATTCTCCAGAACTGTCCATTTAGCAGATCAGCTCTTTACAATAGTTGGAGATGTGCGAACACGGGTCGAATATTTCGCCTTGAAAAAACGAAGTTTCCACCCCAACGACGTTCGCACCTTAATCGATAAGAAGCGAAAGTCCATAGATAATGATGGTGAATTAAATTTGAATGTTATCAATATGTACCCTGAGCTTATTAACACACCTATTACTCTTCAAGTATTTTTTTGTATCCGGTTGATCAAAAGTATAATTACGTTTAATTGATTTTAAATTCTAAGGGCCAAATATCCGTAATCATCTGATTTTATATCTATGTATAAATTTTCATACTTGGAATCATTTGTTGCAATTGTCGTTTTATGAAATAAAACTGTTTCCTTCAACTTTTGTCTATTATTCGTTATCAGCAAACGATTGCAAACATACACCCACAGGACCCGCGTTATCAACATGTATACGTCATTAGATGTGTGCAATATATTTTCACTTGAGGAGTGTTCGAAATGGTTTTACACAATCTGTCTTGTTTGTTGTTACTTGTAACTTTGTGCGGGCATAGCCAATTGGTTCTATTTTCATAGCTAAAGAGCAGAGTATTTTGTAAAGTAATTTTCGAAAATTTCGCCCCTCTAACTTAAATAATTTTCGAGTAACAACCAAAAGTTCAAAAATTTTTGTTAAAACAAACTGTGTTGCGTTCAGTTTATGCTCCAGTCCGCGCTTTTGCTCTGACCAAGTTGAACCATTGTCAACATCAAGCTGCATGCAAAATCTTCCTGTGTTTCTACCAAATTTGAAATCGATATCATTGTTTCGCGACCAGGAGAACGCCAACAACGCACACAACACAGACGCACAGACGGACAGACATGGGTAAATCAACTCTGAATTTCACACTGATCAAGTATATTTATACTTTATAGGGTCTCTGAAGTTTCCTTTTGGATATTGCATGTATTACGGAAAAAACCAAAATGAGTATATCCCCATCTTACAGTGATGGGTATAAAAGTAGGTTTAAAAAATTTATATGTACCAATATTAAAAATTTATCTTTCAGTGTTTGCTATGAGCCTTTTTTAAACGGTAGACGATGTAATATTGATCAGTGATTACTTTGGTCGCGGTTTATATTTCGTGCTACTTGGAGCGCTGGAAAGTTTCAGATTTCTGGCCCCATCTTCAGTACATTTGTTGATTTGAATTGTGTTGTTTGCAGAGTTAACATATGAAAATTTCCATACGAAGTTTTTTAGGACTTTCAACGCGAATTATCAAGACAAGAAAGCAAGAATATCGATCAACTCTACTTCCACTTCTAACAACGAACCACCCTCCCTTGCTACTATGAAACGTTGGTATAACTTCCAAAAGTCCGAAGTCATTGCGCCAGAATGAGAGCGATTCGACAAGTGTCAAACGCTTTTGTCAAGAAAGTTAATGTTTAGGATGAAGTTTGCGGTAGTAATCGCGAATTCAGCTATAGAATTACACATTTTCTTGCCCTTAGTTTCGTTTCGCAGCACATAAAATATAAAACGTGGTATTCTGTTCTTGACGCTCATATTGAAGCAGGCACATTCCAATAAAACATTGTCTACGACAGAGAATGAGGACAAATATTTGTGTATTTATGACCATGGGATTGCAGACTAGCGGTAAAAAATTATGAACTCGTCCACTCAATGTCCTTAGGTAATAATGTTTTTAAGGTATTAAAAGTATTACAAATTTAAAATGAACTATATTCTCTTGAATGCTTGCGAAAACATTTTCTGCTTTGGCCACTTTATGATGGAGGAATAATTCATTTATAATCACATATTCTCAAGTCAAGATTTCTCACTTTCACAGCGCGTTATTTTTCCAATGCAGTATTTACAAAACAGCCACGAAAACAAGAAAAACGATTAGTCTTAGCAGCTCTAGCTTTAAAAAATAGTTTTAAGCTATCTTTTGCTTTATGTTTGTTTCTTTTGTACTTGTTTACTTCGAGTATATAAACTATTATAACTATTACCACTTTTTACTCTTGCTTTTTATTACTTTAAAATGTTTCACTTTCCTGTTCAAGTATTGAATTAAAACATTTAGTTTGCTTACTTTTTATTCATAATATGAATTAGGAACGATTTCTTGTTTTATTAAATCTATATTTTTCTTTTATTATTTTTGACTTTAATGTTTTTAACAATTCTTCACTTACTCAAGTCGTACATATAAGTTTAAATGAAGAAAGAGAAGTTTAACATATCGACACCAGTTTCTTTAGCCACTGCCTATATTCCTTTATATATTAAAATTCAATAAATTATCATTTGCGGCAATTTC